GTCTGGCAATTTTGACATGATAGCTCACTCAAATACAACCGTCTCTGCATTATGTCCCAAGTATAATAATGAGAGTTCTACTTTTTACTAGTAAGTTCTTTGTACATATGACCCAGAAGTTCAGTTTCATTAACTGCTGGCAGTACAAGAATTTCTGCCAGTTTCTTCCACGAGTATTCACTTTTCAAACCAGACAGCCACTGGCTAAAAACCTCTGTCATGCACTCTTGAGGAGGGTCCAGTTCTCTACACTTTGTGGTGTAAATCCCATTTAGTTCCCAACCCTTGAAACCAAGCCCAAGTCCCATGCTTTTCCACTTCACCTTTACTCTAACACCAACTATATTGATCAGATTAACCAGCTTTGGCTCTGGGAATCCTGCAAAGTCTGTCGCAACGAAAGATTAATAAACCTCGGTGGTCAGATAACTAGATAGAGATATAAATTACCTTCAGGTTTCCTATTGCCTGTTGTTCCTGGGTAACAAGATTACATAATATGAACATCTCCCATATGGAAGAAGCAGGCGGTTAATCTTGCATAGTATAAAGGCCGTGCATGCACCTTTGTTGCGTTAGAGACGCAACGTATAATGTATCGGTCTTGGCATGTAAAACAATCACATAAAGTTAGTGATAGGTAGATACCTAGGTCTTTTTGAGGCCTTGTTGGGCACCGTTCTGAAATATGGAGTGACAATGATCATTTCAGCTCCAATAGCTCACTGGTTATAATTATGCAACTCACTTGTGATCTCTTCCACAGCTTTATCAATACCTGAAACTTCCTGCAGCATCTCTATGAACAACTCGTAATTCTCTACCTTGTTTTCTATTTTGCTCAGGGCTTTTCTAATCAGCCCATCGGCTTTTGTTTTGGCTAGTTGGTCAAGCCATCCACGACTTTTGAAAATGGCCAGCAAACTATCTTCTGCCTCGTCAGTTCCCCTCAGAGTTCTCTGTAGCATAACAAGATTCTCCTGCACAGCCAGGTACTGAGGAGTCCTGCGACCAGCCATTTCTACTAGGCCTTCTCAACGGGCAATCACAACCGGTCGTCCGTCCCTAGGCTGCGCCCTGCCCACCACTAGAGTCAAAGGTTCAAAGGTTCAAAGGTTTTAATGCACTGCAAGCCAAACAAGAATAGGCGCGGCATGTTTTACAAAGAATAAAGTTACTTGTAATGTCTAGCATACATGAAAATATCAGAAGTAGCGGACGAAAGAGAGTTGATAATCTGGTCTGGGTCTGAGAGAGGCGTGTGAGAGAGAGTATAGTGATGAAAGTAAGAAACATCCATTGTGGCACCACAGAGATGGCAGATGCCTGGCTGAAACTGTGGCCTGGTCAATTCGCGATAAAGGGCCTGTAGAGAGTCAGTACCACGAGGTCCGTAATCAAGTGCCATGTCCCACAGCTTCATCCAAGATGTATCAGCAGCTATTCCTGATGCAATCGCTGTACTGTTGTGACGGCTGGCCTCGGTGGTGCAGGCCTCCCAGTCTGCCTGTAATACTTCTCGCTTTATTTCTCTTAGAGTTGACTGGGCACTGAGCATGGCATCGGTAGAGCCCTGACAGGAGAGCTTACCCTCCATAGCTCTACATTCCTGCACGAGCCTGAGAGAATCTTGTGGTGAGCTTGAAAATATTTGGCTCCCAATGCTATTTCCGTCGTCAGACACCTTTGATAGAAGACTCAGTTTACGAACAAACATTCTTGCTGTTACTGAGGGCCACCTGAGAGCCAAACGAGTAGAAAGTGTAGAGTGATACTTCGACAGTTTCAATATGCGACGACCAATTTCCCCCTGAAATGATTCCAGCTGATGCAGCATCGAATCTGTCAGCATCCAGTTCTCACAGCCGAACAGCAGCACGGGAACCACACAGGCCTCATAGATGCTTCTCGCTGATAATGGATTCAACTGTCCATGAAATGCCCCTATAGCTCCAAAGGCAAAGAAAGCTCGTCTTGCTTTCTTGATGGCTTCATCGACAGCTTTGGTGGCAGAGAGGTCCCAGGACCACCAGTATCCCAGACACTTTGCGCTGAGACGAGGTGTCAGAGCCTCACCTCCAAGGACAGCTATAGGTGCGGATTCCACTGGTTTGGAAGGAGAAACAAGCACAACCTCGCATTTGGTGGGATTCAGAGTCAGTCCATTCTGTACTGTAAAAGTTTGCACAGTATCAATTTGCTCTTGTAAAGTAGCTCGAGAGCTACTGATGGTACGTATGTCATCAGCATGAATGAATGCACCCGCGTACGTATCACCAATAGAAGGACCCAATGCCTTACTTTGTAGAGATTTCAGTAGGGGGTCCATAATCAGCAGGAAGAGAACTGGGGAGAGGACAGAGCCTTGGAGAACTCCACGCTCTAGAGTGAACATGGAAGACAGAGAGCCATCGACCCTCACCATGCTCTTTGGAGACGAATACCAGCTTCGCAGCAACCTCCAAGCCCTGCCGTCAATGCCAGCCTCATACAGGCGTTTTAGGAGAACGGAGTAATGGACGGAGTCGAACGCCTCTTGCGTCGTAGAAACACATGTACACTTTTTCACAGCGTTGTGAGTAAATGGATAGTACCTCCAACGTTGAGAATATAGCTTCTGCACAGGAGACACCTTTGCGGTAGACTGTCTGATTGAGATGAGGTATACCTTTCTCTGAGAAATGACACTGCAGCCGTGTTAGTATGAGTGACTCCAAAACCTCTGAGTCGCCCTGGATGCGCATGCGCATATCAGATACGCGGACGTCCTCGCACATGAAACCGTTGGCTAACGCGCGTTGTGGTTCAATTCTGGTTGGTAAGCGAGAAACTTAATTTTAGCCAAAGTTGCGTGGCCCCGCCTTTTGCGCACGTGGAGGGCCGGAGGGGAAAGGCCAGCTGGGTTCCGAGGAAAGATTTCCGTTCTGCGATAAAAGAAGGCTAGTTCTACTGACGAAAAAGGGCGTGAAAATCGTCATGAGTAAAAGCGTGAAGGTTAGTGGTTACACCAAATCTAACGGAACCTACGTGGCCGGGTATACAAGAAGTGCACCAACAGGGCGATCAAGCGGGGCAAGTTCTTCTAGCAGATCCACAGGTGGCTCCGTGAGCTCCTCCACCAGTTCTTCGGGTTTCGTAAATGTCAGCGGCCATTACCGCTCCAATGGAACATACGTGCAGCCGCACACGCGCTCTACGCAGACAAAGAAATCCGACGGTGCGAATTCCTCCACCAGTTCTTTGAGTGTCGTTCACGTCAGCGGCCATTACCGCTCCGATGGAACATACGTGCAACCGCACACACGATCCGCGCCAATGTCGCGTTCTGCTAGCAATACGGCAAGTAAAGTGGTGGCGAAACAGTACGCGGACAACGCTTACAATCGCAAACTAGGACGCGTTGGGATGCCTCTGGGAACTATGCCAACTGGTGGAAAACGCTATGTTGATAACCCTCACAATAGGCGCCTTGGACGTGCAGGAACACTGATTCCACCCAGAAACGTTCGGCAGCAAGAAATCGTGGAGGGAAACACGGTACAAGATATAATCAGGCTCATGGAAGACATGGATGTAGGCATTGAGTACGATGAGTACCAGTCTGCTGCTGACAGGTTGGCTCAGCAACAGGTAGAAGAAGAGTGGAGAGAGAAAAACATCAGTTTCGAACCACCACCTCTAGCTATACAAAAAATTCCACACCAAGACCTAAAGATAGAGAAGGAGATTGGGCATGGTGGATTTGGCACCGTGTTTGCATGCTTGTGGAATGAAAAACCAGTTGCCTACAAAAAGTTTATACAGCAGCAAATGTCGAGGAGGGCACAGGAAGATTTTGCAAAGGAGATGAAGATCCTAGTCAGCCTCGATCACCCATGCATAGTGAGGTTGTTTGGTGCTGTTCTTGAGGAGCGGTGTCTTGGGATAGTGATGGAGTACATGTCACGCACGCTTTATCAGGCTCTATTCAATGACGAATCAGAATTCGAGGACGAAAAGAAGAAAAAGATCGTATCTCAGCTTGCCAGCGCCCTGCAATACCTTCACACACCCCCGACAGAAATTGCCCATTGCGATATTAAGAATCAAAATGTGCTGCTAGATAAGGATGACAATGCCAAGCTGTCTGATTTTGGGCTTAGTTTGATAAAGAAAAATACAGAAGCATCTCGATCTACAGCTGCACCAGTTCCTGCCCGTGGTACTCCGCGATACTCTGCACCGGAGGTCCTACGTGGAGAACTTCTAACTCAACAGCAATTTTCAAAAGCCGACATATACTCCTTAGCCATTTGTGTTTTTGAAATAGTCACCGAGGAAGAAGCATACTATGGGCTCGGTGCAAAACAACTGGAAGCTCAAGTGGGTAAGGGGAACTTGCGTCCTAAAGCTGAATCAGAAATTGCTTTCTCAGCAGAGCTCTCTTCCTTCCTTGAATCGTGTTGGGATTCAACTGCCGATAATCGTCCCACTTCCACTCAAATTGTTGATCAGTGGAGCAAAATAACTGATTTGCTTGCATGAACAAAAGAACTTGAACAATGTCAGCTTAGATTACTTAGCGCTGTAACTCTTGCATAACCCAATAAAGTAGTTATGATTAACCCTTCTCATGCCACAGTTGATTTTCCTTCATATCTGGCTAATTGCAAAGCATGCACAATTCAGATGTGGCACGTGTGATCTAGTACGCATAGTGGGCATGTGCAGGGTGGTGTGGATTTATATTATGGCACCACTCAGATTGTTAGGGTTTGCACTGCTACCGTTGTTGCATAAACTATGCAACATTAATTTTTCCTCGCTGCATGGTCTCTAAACTAGGTAGTTACGCATTTCCTGCACCGCCAGGTACTGAGGAGTCCTGCGACCAGCCATTTTCTACCTGGTCTTCAATTGGAGTGTAAAGCTGCTTCCTGTACACTAAGCAAGCTCATGAATTTTCATTAACCTTTCCCCAGTATTGGTTGGTGTGGGGCCAAAATGCATTTGTGGAGTATGTGACCCTGCTGGTGAATGATTAAGCTACATCTCCTTGTATTGATGGAGCATGGGGCACCCCGACACCATGCCTGACTCACTAACTAACTGAGGCCATTGTGTGCGATCTGAGGATGGACAGACAATCATGCTCGTTTTGTACTGAGTGAACCACTTTGAAATCCCCAGGCATTATAACCTGGTCCGGTAATGAGGGGGTGGAGCCACACCTGGAAAGGAAGTGTTGCCACGGGAACTCCTTAGGCAAGTCGCCAGGTGAAAGAGTGGGCGTCGGCAGTAGAAGGTAGGCGGGGTGGGGGGAGGGGGAGAGGGAAAGACGCGAGAGAGTGGGGACTGAGGTAAAACGGAGTATTTCTACTCCGGAGAGGTTGCCATGGAGAAGAAATGTTCTTTTGAGGTAGTGTCGCACGATCAATGGCACAGTTGTCATGGAGATACTCTGACACCTGAGAGGCCAAAAGAGGGAGATAGCGCAACTGAATAATCGTTTTGAGTCCACGACTTTAGAGAGTTGTACCGTGAGATAATCAGGAGAAACATCTGATTAAGGATTAACGGCACGTAGCAACCTAGTGATGTGCATTCTCAAAAATCTGAAGAATGGTGTGTAGACCTGTTGTGGATCTGAAGGGTCTGGCAAATCAGCGATCTCATTCTGCAGTCTCTGAACCACATTCCCTGGATCCAAGAGAACACATATATATGTACCCTACCTTATTTCAGTAACCATATCGATCATTGAATAACGATGCATCATCAGTACAAATTTCCTATAGACATCTATGTACATGATACTGTGGATTGGTTCAAAGAGAAGAAGAAGAAAGAAGAAGAAGAAGAAAGAGAGGAGAATGAGCTCACCAATTCCCTCGGTGCCTCCCCAGTCTCCACCGAACCCTCTCTCCCTCCCCTCCTCACAGGTGCCCAGTCTCACGTAGGACACCTGGTACCACAGTGCCATAACCAGTGGCCTCCCCAGACTCTGCAGACAAGGAGAGAGAGACACTTCATACTCCATTCCCCATGCTTCATAAATCTATATATCCATACTCTAACATCTCATACTCCAATTCTCTATACCTCATACATCCATTGCTCTGTATGCCATTCCGCTTACCAAATTCTACATAAATCCATACTACAATTTTCATACTCCCACCCCGTTCTCCATATTTCTATACTCTATACTCCATTACCCAGACCCCCATGCCCCATCTTACCAGAATGGTCTTGAGACGTGTCACTCTATCTTCCAGTGCTCCCTCTGAGAACATGGTCAGTATCTGTAGTGGTGGTGCATGGGTGGTCAGGTTCCGGAACCAGGAATGGGAGTATGGGGAATGGGAATCTGACCTCGGTGGTATGGGGAATGTACCACAGGTTTCTGATTCTGGATCCATCCTCTGTCAGGAGGAGGGGAGGCCGGGAGAGAGAGCTGACCTGGCAACAAACAAACAATCAAACAATCAACAAATGGTAAACAAAAACAGTACACAAATTGCAAGTGTGTTTACCGAGGATCTTTGACGAGAGGAGGAACAGATTTTGGAGTGGTTGAAACTTGACCAACTGTGAAGTAGCCATCTCTACAATGGCAACCAAAACACACCGCCCATGCACTCTGAATGTTGTCTGTTTACTTTTGCTAACTGAAAGAATTTTCACATGCATGAGAGGGAGGGAGAGAAAGAAAGAAAGAGAGGGGGTGTCAACCTGGTTGCAGGGAAGGTGTGGAGAAGGCAGGTGAGACTCTGGTACAGCTGAAGGATCTGAAGCCTCAGTGAATATTGTGACATCACCTTCACCAAGTTGGCACAGAATTCTTCCACCGCACCACTGCAATATTATAGCAACAGACGTAGAGAATAATGTTGTGATGACAAGGTGTAAAGGTCTTGCCGGATGAGAGTTTCGCAAACCTCAAGTTCATAGAAACAATGGACAGCTTTAAAGTGGGTGTAGGTAGGTAGTATTGTTATTTTCCCGATGTGCCAATGTGTTTCAACATAGTAAGGAAAAGGTAATGTTGTATGGATGGTTGCGTGGATGACGGGAGACGATTTGTATTTTCTCACATTAGCACTTGGCGTCTCAGACCACTTTGCAGTCTCCATGCCATTTCGCGTCTTCCCAGTGGAATGGAATCGGGACGATAACCCAGCCAGCATGTGATCCCGCACGGCCGACTGTTGGAATGGAACGGAACCACGTGAACACATGCGGAAAACCTTATCATTTCCCCAACCTTCTCTAGTTGGACTGAAATGAATGCCTTCTGCAGTGCTTCTCTTACGCTCAGCACTTTTCCCCATTTCCGAGGCAGTTGTAATCATACCCACTGACAGAGGGGTTCGGATGATTTCCTCGTCACGAACCCCACCTCCTCCAATATTGGGTCCCCCCAGTGGCCCCCTCTAGGGACCGGAGAGTGGAGAAGTTCATTAGAGATGAGATAGCTAGACACCACTTGTGAGCCACTTGGCATTTGAGAGCTGTCTGCAGCTTTAGGAGACCAGTCGCACTCTTTAGTAGCTGTGAGGGAGAATGGAGGTGAGAGGAATCACAGAGGGAAGGGAGGTTTGCATAGTTATAGTTACTGCTTTTAAACTGCACTGCACACTCCAGCTATAGTCAAGGTATTCAGGATGGTTGGTTGGCCTGTCCTTCTCCCCACTTGCTCGCTAAAAGTACAAACATTTTAGGCCATCCTATTTCTTTTCACTGCACACTCCAGCTATAGTCAAGGCATTCAGGATGGTTGGTTGGCCTGTCCTCCTCCCCACTTGCTCGCTAAAAGTACAAACATTTTAGGCCACCCTATTTTTTCACTGCACACTCCAGCTATAGTCAACGCATTCAGGATGGTTGGTTGGCCTGTCCTCCTCCCCACTTGCTCGCTAAAAGTACAAACATTTTAGGCCATCCTATTTTTTCACTGCACACTCCAGCTATAGTCAAGGTATTCAGGATGGTTGGTTGGCCTGTCCTCCTCCCCACTTGCTCGCTAAAAGTACAAACATTTTAGGCCATCCTATTCTTTCACTGCACACTCCAGCTATAGTCAAGGTATTCAGGATGGTTGGTTGGCCTGTCCTTCCCCCCACTTGCTCGCTAAAAGTACAAACATTTTAGGCCATCCTATTCTTTCACTGCACACTCCAGCTATAGTCAACGCATTCAGGATGGTTGGTTGGCCTGTCCTCCTCCCCACTTGCTCGCTAAAAGTACAAACATTTTAGGCCATCCTATTCTTTCACTGCACACTCCAGCTATAGTCAAGGTATTCAGGATGGTTGGTTGGCCTGTCCTCCTCCCCACTTGCTCGCTAAAAGTACAAACATTTTAGGCCATCCCTATTCTTTCACTGCACACTCCAGCTATAGTCAAGGTATTCAGGATGGTTGGTTGGCCTGTCCTTCCTCCCCACTTGCTCGCTAAAAGTACAAACATTTTAGGCCATCCTATTTTTTCACTGCACACTCCAGCTATAGTCAAGGTATTCAGGATGGTTGGTTGGCCTGTCCTCCTCCCCACTTGCTCACTAAAAGTACAAACATTTTAGGCCATCCTATTCTTTCACTGCACACTCCAGCTATAGTCAAGGTATTCAGGATGGTTGGTTGGCCTGTCCTTCCCCCCACTTGCTCGCTAAAAGTACAAACATTTTAGGCCATCCTATTCTTTCACTGCACACTCCAGCTATAGTCAAGCATTCAGGATGGTTGGTTGGCCTGTCCTCCTCCCCACTTGCTCGCTAAAAGTACAAACATTTTAGGCCATCCTATTCTTTCACTGCACACTCCAGCTATAGTCAAGGTATTCAGGATGGTTGGTTGGCCTGTCCTCCTCCCCACTTGCTCGCTAAAAGTACAAACATTTTAGGCCACCCTATTTCTTTTCACTGCACACTCCAGCTATAGTCAAGGTATTCAGGATGGTTGGTTGGCCTGTCCTCCTCCCCACTTGCTCGCTAAAAGTACAAACATTTTAGGCCATCCCTATTCTTTCACTGCACACTCCAGCTATAGTCAAGGTATTCAGGATGGTTGGTTGGCCTGTCCTCCTCCCCACTTGCTCGCTAAAAGTACAAACATTTTAGGCCATCCTATTCTTTCACTGCACACTCCAGCTATAGTCAAGGTATTCAGGATGGTTGGTTGGCCTGTCCTCCTCCCCACTTGCTCGCTAAAAGTACAAACATTTTAGGCCACCCTATTTTTTCACTGCACACTCCAGCTATAGTCAAGGTATTCAGGATGGTTGGTTGGCCTGTCCTCCTCCCCACTTGCTCGCTAAAAGTACAAACATTTTAGGCCATCCTATTCTTTCACTGCACACTCCAGCTATAGTCAAGGTATTCAGGACACTAATACAACTAGCTACTGTTATATTGAAAAATTCATTTTAATATGAACATTTTTGATGGTCCCCTGGAGTTCATATTAACGAGGTTCGACTGTATACTCTTCTTGTGCCATTCTTTTCTCATTCAGATACATACTACATCTCTGTGAGGCGTAAGTTCTCACTTCTTTTTTCTCTCTGTCAAAACCTATTTCTCACATCCCCCTCTCCCTCCTCCCCTCCTCCCCCTTCCCACACACAGTCCACGGGTCATTCTGGGAGTGACTAACCCATTCTTCACTAAGACGCTGGACCACTGGCCTCACGTCATCAAACTTGGAGAAATCTCATCCAGCAATCCTGGTATATACAGTGGTTTATTTTAACCATCCGCAAAAGTCTCTTTTAGTGTTTAGCTTTTCCTAAGTGAGCTGCTTCACATACACACGCACACACACACGCACACACCCTCTCAATCTCCTCCCCCAATGTCTCTCCAGGGACAGAGGAGAGCAGACCTCATCAGAGAAGCAGGTCACCAGGTGACCTCTCTGACACCAGACCAGGTATAGCTATAGCTGTATAATAGGCAATTGAGAGTCTAGATGAGTTCTACTAGCCATATGTAGCTGTGTGCTATTATACTGTACATACATGCAATTCAGAGACTAGGTGAGTTTCCAATAAGGAAGCACACATGTAGAAGTATGCATATTCACTAAGCACTGATGCATGACTCACTGAGGTGGCATGCAGAGTGGTTCTAGTGTAGCTACTCCACAAAAATCAGGTCATGTGTCTCTCAGAAATGCACCAATTTGCCTAACAAAACTAGTGGCCACCCAAGTCAGCTTGTTTTCATTCCTAGTATTTCCTTTTGCACAAAACAAACAGTTCCAGAGTTAGCTTACCGTGGCAGGGTACTGTATATTCTACATTATCTGGAGATGAATAATGTTTTACTGTGTGTTCCCTTGCAGGGGTGTTCAGCAGGTACAAGCCCTTCTTGCAGAAAGACAAGACCTTTGCCAAACTGGTCATCTCAAACAAGGTATATATACTCATTACAGAAGACACTGTTTTCAATTTCAAAACTCCATTACTGCAAAATGCCACCTTCTCATCTTAACTAGACTCCACCAGGCAAAAGGCCAATGGAGGTTCAGGTAAAAATTTTGTCTAATCCACAGATTCTCTGGTATAATATTTTACAGCATTGTTTGTGTGTTGGACTGTGCAGAATGTGATGGTCAAGAAACATGCTCTGGAATTGACTACCAGTTTTATCATACCTCTGGTGAGTATATTCTGCTGCTACAAGTCAGAGAGTGAGATTGTTTTTTCTCTTATCTTTTTTCAACAGGAGAGGTATCTGGCTAGTCTAATGCCACTGAAGAGAGATGTCTCCCCATGGAGGGTATGTACACACATATGCTATACAGATGTTGTTCCACGTGTAGCTCAGTCTCTATGCACAACAACAACCCAGAAATAGAGTCGTCTATTTCTGTTAGTATATAGATCCTCTCTCTGCAGCCACCACCTCAGCTGAAACCGTTTGATAGTGAGTTATTTCTGAAGGGAATGGAAGGAGCTGGACCTCACCTCACTTCTGGGGTCAAGGGAAACTGGACTGGTCTCTACCAGTGAGTCATGACCACTTACTTTTTCAGACCCACCCTTCTTCTTGACAGAATTCCTCTTTGGGGGGCCCTCTCTTTCGTAAACAGCACATTCCACTCTTTCTCACTGGACTTTCACCTGCTACGTAAACAGCACATTCTACCCACTTGTGAATACATCTCTTTCTCACTGGACTTTCACCTGCTACGTAAACAGCACATACCCACTTGTGAATACATCTCTTTCTCACTGGACTTTCACCTGCTACGTAAACAGCACATACCCACTTGTGAATACATCTCTTTCTCACTGGACTTTCACCTGCTACGTAAACATGCTCATTCCACCTGAATGTACCTGTAGCCCTGCTTTCTCATGCACACACCAACTTATACCCTTCTCCATCACAGCTCACCTTTCGACCACTTGCAGGTTCCACCCACTTTGAAAACACTTAACACTCACTTTATAATATTAGTCACTCTCATTATCATTCACTGCTCACTTTTGAGCCAGGTGCATGTTTCACCCAATTATGAATTCTTACTCAACTTTTACCTGCTAGGCGCACCAACTTATGAATGCCCTGCTTTGTCCACACCCACTTAGTCTCTCTGCTCACTTTTGAGCCAGGTGCATGTTCCACCCACGTAGATTAATACTAGTCACCTATCCACCCCTTCCACTGTCCAACCTCTTTACTTAACACACCACCCATACTGTGACTGTACTGACCTTTCCCCCTCTTACATCCCTTACACACTCAAACGTCTTCTCCACATATTGTGTCCCAACTCTGTGCATGTCTACAGGAGATTCCTGAGTTCTCCCAACTTCATCTCATGGTTCTCAGTGAGGAAAGAGGAGGCCAACCAGAAACTGAGACTCATCCACTTGGACCAGCTCTGCAAGGCTGTGAGCACACTACACTATAGATGCCTGCTATAATTAGTGTCACTCAGCCCACCTATATGGTTGTCTGAATTTTGTATACAGATGTCTGTAATGTTCTAAGACCACTGACTGTTTTAACAGTGTTCACAAAACTAACTTGACTATATATAGGACATAGGGTTCTGGATGAGGGACAAACAAGAGGTAGAGATTGTGGATTTCTTACTTCAGGTCAAAGAATGCCTGGTATGTGAATTATTTAACTCCCACCCCAGTGTAATTACTCACTCAATTCCTCCCCTTCATTCTTTCCATCTCCCCCTACATCCCTCTAGTCAAGGGCCACCCGGCAGTATCCCTCAGTGTCAGCTCAGACAGTCCACACTCTCCAGTCACAGATCAGAACTATCATTTCCTCTCTACCTGAGGACCTGCAGTCCTGTCTTAAATCCTCTTTCTCTTCTCCCTAAAAGTTTCACAAATGCTGGTTGAACCTAATTATTTTGCCTTGGTTAGATCATCGCTAACTGACTATGGCGGAAACTCTTGCACACCCTTTTACGAGTGTAATGTCAGCGTATGTGGAGTCAAAAATACTAAAAAGCTTCCCCAGCCCACCTGTAGTATCGTCCTCAGGCACTCTTTGTAAATCACGGAAAACATTGTGGTAAATCCACCCACTTCTTCCCCACTGCTGTCAAAAACTCAAGTGGTATGTCAACTTAGGGCCGAACGAGAAGAATATTGAGTGAGTGTGTTAGAGTCCACAAAGTTCCCTTATTAAATTGGATATTTATGAGTAAACACTAAATATTAATATGGTAGGTTTCAACCCCAGGGCACTACTATTGTGTCATGTTGACCTCATACACACAACCATAATAATTATGATCAGCAACAGTGCAAATTACATTGCAACAAATAATGGTACAAAAAGGATAAGTTATTCAAGTGTTGCTACGTATTTTTCAATGTCACTAGCAAGAGCATTAAGGGTGCAGTCCCTAAGACACGCTATAAGGACGCCCCATGTAACAGGCTGCCCTTTCCCTTCATACCACTCATTTAGGATGGCTTTAAGAATGGGCTCAGAATTAAGTTGATGGGGAGCAGCTAGAGTCTTTACTCTAGCACCAAATTTATCATCAAGTAGAAATATTCCGAAATTTTGATAATTCACTCCAACACGTTCGAAAAAGCCTAATTTCTTTAGTTCCTGTAAGGTTGGAGGTCCTGGTAAAAGAAATCACACAAGTTTACATGAATCTCTAGCAGTTAATACCCTCTTGGTACGTCACTACAGCACTCATTTGTGAGCCCTAAAGTCATAGTTTACATTACGCTTACTGAAGGGCTAGTAGCTAAGTGCTACACATTTGACGCATAAGATGGCAAGTTTGGTTTTATTTTTGCCTCTAGTAACTGGTTTAAGGGTAACCAATCGTTTTTTTTCAGCGCAGGATTCTGTTTGTCATCCTGTAAGCTCCCAGGGTACTTGATTTCCCAAAGATTCATCAGTTGACTGTTAAATCGTCAAGCCAAAGACCATGCAGTCACAAACCAATTTGACGTACTACTCATGGGGTCTTGTCTCCTTCCTTGCTTTTCTTTGGTTTTTAGTACAACAGCTGTAATTATAAAACCATGGTAGTATAGTTGCACTATATACCATGTGTTTAAGGCTTAGGGCTGCCATCTGTACTTACCCGAGGCAGCAGCAGTAGTAGGCTGTGTTTCATCCACATCTAAGCAAAAGTTTACAATGAGAAGTGCTAACGTACAAACCCTTAAGGAACACACATTATAGTGCTAAGCATGCACCTCAGTGCATTTCATTCCTCAAGTAAATGTGTTCTCCCGACATAAACTAATGTAAGAGAAAATCATTACAGCATTGCCTGTGGTAAAATGTACGGACACAAATACAGACTGAAACACACACACCATGTGTTAACTGCAGTGGAAAAAACAATTAGGCCCTATCCTGCTTTATAATTACATTTTTATATATAATATACACATTCATAGCTGATTTTTAAAATTCGTGGATTGCACACAGGTATACTGGAATATGTAGGAAAGTGAATGCACATTGTCAGGCTGGATATCCGACTAATCATCTAACATGAGTAGACCCCACTATGGCGCATGTGCAGTGTTGTGCCAGAGTTGGGGTTTTGCCAATTTGAATCGTATGCCACATGGAAATGTATTAAACAAGACTGGATATCTACTCACTGTGGGTTTGCCAAGGCAACTACAGCGTGCAGTACCATCTGAGCAATGCAAAAACACACAAGACATTATGTGCATGAATATAGAGGGTCACTGTATACAGCTACCTCAGACAGTGTCACGTGTTGTAGCTTGTTCAATATTGAGTCATAAAGTGAAAATTATGAAAGCTAATGCTAGCATAGTCTCTCATTCGCTAACAGTTCTACTTCAAAAGTTTTTTATACATCTCTCGCACAAGTCCCTTCTCGTCAACTGCAGGGGACTCAAGAACTTCTGCTAGCTTTTTCCAAGAGTAATCACATTTCATGGCATCCTTCCACTTTGTAAAAACTTCCGTCATACAACTTTGAGGTTGGTTTATCTCCCCAGCCTTTGCAGCCTTAATTCCATCAAGCTCCCAACCCTCAAAACCAAGCCCAAGTCCAATTTCTCTCCATTTAACTTTTACTCTAACACCAACTATATTCATCAGATCAACCAGCTTTGGCTTTGGAAGGCCAGCAAAGTCTGTCAAGGTAAATTAAGTCAATTAAGTCAAGTAATTTTAAAAACCCTATAGATTGATAGTAATTACCTTCCAGTAATGTTATGTTGTCTTTTGGTCCTATAGAAGAAGGTGTGTGATAAAAATCCTATAAATCTGACTAAAAACCTGAACCTTTTCAGCACCTACGCATAAGTAGGCCTCCATGGCAATAATAGTGCTACAGCAATAAAATTTGCATAGATCTGGAAAGAGGTAGACATATAAATCAACGTTCGAACTGGTTGCAACAGGGAAAAAAACCGGTTAAAATTTTTTCGATATTTCACCGGATTCCGCCCTTTTGCCATGCTCGTTCTGCCGATATCCCTGTTCCATTCCGGAGATCCCCGGAGTTAGTCTCGTGCCCAGACCCACACGCTCAGAACTACTTTTTTCTAGCAATCGTCGCACGACTTTAGCTAAACTTTAGCGACTTTCAGCGCTAGACACCGCAGAATTTGCATCCGTTTCGATGGCATAAGTGAGAGCAAGCTTTATTTGGGCGTGGCTATGCATGCAGTAGCCAGTAGGACCGAGTAGGGCCACAGTAAGGCTTCTCTGACTTGAAAGATGCATGAAAAGGCATAATCGGGCAGCTGAAACTCGAAGAATTTTGGGGTTCAATGAATTGCAATCAAGAATCCATGGCTACTGACAACCCAACAATTATGTGGCTCCTTCATTTTGACTTTGCGTGCGGAAAGAAGGTGCGCTAGTACTGCTGCTGCGCTTTCAGCTCAAGGATGCCCAGCGAGGTGCACTTCCGCCCGAATGCAAACTAAGACAAGTTTCTATGGGCTCTTAGTATTCTGCACTATACAACGGCTAGATTATGTTGTAGCTAATGCGTAGCTGGAGACTCTGTAGGGGCTAGCGTAGTGAACCGCTATAAGGGCTCATCTGACACAGTTTTTAAACTAAATTTCTGTTGTCAAACACATTATACTGCAGCATACTTACCTCCAGTAGATGAAAGAGGACACATATCTGCAAATAATTATTTATAAAGAAGTAAAAGTGGTAGCTAGTCATAATATTATAGATCAGACGTGTTTACCTGTAATCAATTTAATTACAACGTTCATGCCTGGGATGTCCTGCAGCATTCCAATAAAAACTTCGTAATTTTTTTCTTCCAACTTAATTTGGTTAATAGCTTGTGTGATCAAAGGCATAGCTTCAGCCTTAACAATTCCCCCAAGCCAATTTTTGATTTGAAATGCCGTCAGAAGACTCTCTTCTGCATCAGCAGTTGATCTAAGAGTATCCACCAGTTTCTGTTTGTTTCGTAACACGGCCTGGCATTGCTGGTTCATCGTCAAAACACGCTTGTGGCAGAGTGCAACAATAACGTTTGCTGCACACTCCTTTTAAAAGCAGAGGCGATAATTCCTCGCTCGCGCGCGCGCTGAGACCGCCCCGCCGCCCGCCCGGCCCTCGCGCCCGCGCGCGCGGCGACCGGCGGCCACGCGAGGGATCACGTGTGAGAAATATTTGCCGAATTAAGCTCTCTCCTCGCGGCTTTGAATGGGCTTTCTCGTTCACCAGTCTTGAAGGAATTTTCGGCAATCTGAGCCATGGCTGATGTTTCTCTCTTAACAGAGTGAAAGAGGTACGGTCGACGCTTATTTGCGTGCCAGAATGGCTCCGTAGACTACTGTACATTTTCCGCAGCATTTCAATAAACAACATTCTCGACTTCAATTTTGCTCAGGCCGTTTGTAATCAGCTCATCAGCTTCCATACTGGGTTGTTGGTCAGCCCATCCATGCCTTTTAAATTCTGTCAGCAAGGTTTTTTTCTGCTTTCGCTCCCTTCAAAGCTCTCTCTAGTACACCTTGATTCTTCTGCACAGCCAGGTACTGTGGAGTGTCACAGCCAGCCATTTTGTTGAACAACTACTGTACTGGCCCTGTCTAGCTGCTATTATCAATGAGTTTTACAATTTATTATTATGATGTCACTTCCTGTATAAACAAATGAGTCACATGACCTCTTTCCACTATGGGGTGGGGCTTTACTCATGAAGCAACAGCTGCTTAAAATTCATATTCACCCCAAGTAGTTCTTGCACATGTGCAAGACCAACCCATAACTAAGGATATTATATCTCGTAATCTATCAGTTCCACGCCTTTGCACTGCTTGATTCATTTTACATGAATGATAACAAAGTACTTCAAAGCAATACCACAGTTTATGCATTATAGTCCGAGTATAAAATTTCTACTACTTCTTAAGTTCTCTGTACATATGACCCAGAAGTTCAATTTCATTAACTGCTGGCGACACAAGAACTTCTGCCAGTTTCTTCCACGAGTATTCACTTTTCAAACCAGACTTCCACTGGCTAAAAACCTCTGTCATACACTCTTGAGGAGGGTCCAGTTCTCTACACTTTGTGGCGTAAATCCCATTTAGTTCCCAACCCTTGAAACCAAGCCCAAGTCCTATGTCTCTCCACTTCACCTTTACTCTAACACCAACTATATTGATCAGATCAACCAGCTCTGGTTCTGGGAATCCAATGAAGTCTGTTGAAACGAAAGAAGTCATGATGCAATAGTCAGATATATGATAGAGAGATAGATAGAGCACTTACCTTCAGGATTGATATTGCACTCTGATCCTGAGGAACAAGATTCATGATGTGATACTTTAACCCTTTGGTAAATAAGATGCATAAAATAATAAGCGCCTAGTAAAGCGCCTAGTATTATAACCCCCATAATTTTAACTTCTTATGGACTTATGGAGGCTCTACACATGTCTGCTGCTAGTTAATTGCCGAGCGCGTTAGCGTGAGGCAACTACTCCGGGTTGTATTCTCGCGGTATGCGTACGTACACGCTTAAAATGTCCATTAGTCACGCTTGGGGAATGTAAATTAGTCACGCTTAGGGAATGTCAATTAGTCGCGTTTAGGGAATGTCAATTAGTCACGCTTAGGAATGTCAACTTCCTCATTCGTAACAAGTCTAGCTTCCGCCGTGCACGCGCGCAGATTCGTAGGAAGTCTGGCTTCGCGCGCAGTCAGTAGAGCGCGCGACGAGTGGCCTAAGCAGACTGTTTACGCACGCATAGGGCTAGGGAGGCAAGATATGCGCGTGCGCATTCCTAGTATAAGTGTTAATGAGTGTTTAGCTTGGAAGCAGAATGAGCAAAAGCTCTTAGATACTCTTACTAGCTATACCTAGGTGGACTGCATCAACAATAATACTGCACTGACACATAGAACAAGAACTTGAGCAAGCTGTTTAGGCATTATCTTTTGATAGTGTAAAAGTTTCCCCATTAGGTTTTTAATTCTGACCAGTTTCTTTCTGATTGCATGAACCCACATCACAACCAGCATGATCACAGGTGGGAGGTGCAGAGGGACATTGAAGTTCCTGATGAACTAGGCATTCCGAGTAATCAGCAAACTGCCGCCCACAATAATCACAGGGGTATAGATTCAAGTGCTCCTCCATCATTGATTTTACAGCATCTGTAATGGGCAAGCCAAAGCAGCTATTTAACAATGTTGCTGCGATCATCAGTTCTCAATTGGCAGGACTCAACACACGGTTTCCATGCTCTTGTGCCCCATGCATAATTTTCCCTTAGCCAAGCCTTTAGCTTACATAAGAGCTGTGCCTGGAAATGCAGCTATCTAGAACAAAACGCAGCAGTTCATATTTTCAGCTCTAGAGAAAGTTTTATGCTACATGCTTATAGCCTGCTGCAGACATAATACGCACCTTGTAGCTGAGCTTGGTTAGTGAAAAGGGGTGTAGCAAAAGTTTGATCTGCAGGGTCGCGTACAACATACGGTAAAAAATAGCATCCAAGGACACTAGTTGGAGATTTACGTACCTTTTGCAGACTTTAATGGGCACTGTTCTGCAGTAATGGAGAGAAACTGATATCATTATTTGTTGTAAGCTCACAAAGTAGTTACTACCTATGATCATGTCCACAACATCTTTGATGCCTTTAATTTCCGCAGCATTTCAATAAACACGTCATAATTCTCGACTTTGATTTCAATTTTGGTCAGGGCGTTTGTAATCAGCTCATCAGCTTTCATATTGGCAAGTTGGTCAACCCATCCATGACTTTTATATTGTGTCAGCAAACCTTTTTCTGCTCCAGCTCCCATTAAAGCTCTTTCTAGTATATCTTGATTCTTCTGCACAGCCAGGTACTGTGGAGTGTCACAGCCAGCCATTTTGTTGGACAACTATTGGCCCTGCCTAGCTGCGTATATAGCAGTTTTATTGTTGCGATGTCACTTCCTGTATAAGCAGGTCCCTTGACCTCTTTCCACTACTCCACCATTAGCAACAGCTGTATAATACTCATTTCCCACCAGTAGTTCCTACACACAACCAACAAACATGCACTGTACATCTTATCAACTCTTAGTTGCACTACTTGATCCATATTACATGATACCTCATATTACAAAATACAGCATCAAGTATCGATGAAACTCAATACCCTCAATACCACTGTCAGAGTTCTACTTCTTATTAGTAAGTTCTTGGTACATGTGACCCAGAAGTTCAATTTCATTAACTGCTGGCAGTACAAGAACTTCTGCCAGTTTCTTCCACGAGTATTCACTTTTCAAACCAGACAGCCACTGGCTAAAAACCTCTGTCATACACTCTTGAGGAGGGTCCAGTTCTCTACACTTTGTGGCGTAAATCCCATCAAGTTCAGAATCCTCGAAACCAAGCCCAAGTCCTATGCTTTTCCACTTCACCTTTACTCTAACACCAACTATATTGATCAGATTAACCAGCTTTGGCTCTGGGAATCCTGCAAAGTCTGTCGCAACGAAAGATTAATAAACCTCGGTGGTCAGATAACTAGATAGAGATATAAATTACCTTCAGGTTTCCTATTGCCTGTTGTTCCTGTGTAACAAGATTACATAATATGAACATCTCCCATATGGAAGAAGCAGGCGGTTAATCTTGTACAGTATAAATGCCATGTGCGTCTCTGTTTTGCCCTGTGTGCGCATGCGCATATCAGATAGATACGTCCATTTTTGTACGTTGGTTTTACGCCGTTGGTATACGTACGTATAATTAAAAGTTGCGTGGCCCCGCCCTTTGCGCACGTGGAAGGCCGGAGGGGAAAGGCATGCTGGTTCGAGGAAAGATGGTTTGGCCGCGGCACGCCATTTCCGTTTTGCGATAAAAGATGGCAAGACTAGCTAGTTCTACTGACGAAAAAGGGCCACTAGTACGACTGAGTGAAAATCATCATGAGTAAAAGCGTGAAGGTTAGTGGTTACTACAGATCTAACGGAACCTACGTGTCCGGGTATACGAGAAGTGCACCAACAGCACGATCAAGCGGGACAAGTTCTTCTAGCAAATCTACTGGTAGCGCCGTAGGCTCCTCCACCAGTTCTTCTGGTGTCGTACATGTCAAGGGCTATACCCGCTCCAATGGAACATACGTGCAGCCGCACACGCGCTCTACGCCGATTAGGAAATCGGACGGTGTGAGTTCCTCCACCAGTTCTTCGGGTGTCGTACATGTCAGGGGCTATACCCGCTCCAATGGAACATACGTGCAGCCGCACACGCGCTCTGCGCCGACTAGGAAATCGGACGGTGCGAGTTCCTCCACCAGTTCTTCGGGTGTCGTACATGTCAGGGGCTATACCCGCTCCAATGGAACATACGTGCAGCCGCACACGCGCTCTGCGCCGACTAGGAAATCGGACGGTGCGAGTTCCTCCACCAGTTCTTCTGGTGTCGTACATGTCAGCGGCTATACCCGCTCCAATGGAACATACGTGCA